GCCCCCCCAAAAAAGGGCCGGGGTTTTTTGGGGGGGGCGTCAGGCCCCCCCCTTTCCCCCCCCCCCCCCCCCCCCCTCAAAATATCAATACAGCAAAACGAGATAGTACACATTACTTATTACTGTAGAGGCCATCTGAGTGATAAAATTAGTTCCATGCAAAAAAAGTATTTAAAATTGTCATAAACATTAGTTGCCGACGCAGCAATGTGTACGGTTTATATATATATATATATATATATATATATATATATATATATATATATATATATATATATATATATACAGACTTGACATTTAATATGGAATATTTCAGTTTCGAAGGTATGCCTAGGTAAAAATGCGTTCTTTTTTCAAAAAACTCCGGTCTCATATAAGACATGTGAATGGAGAAGTGTGTAGTTAGGTGTGTAGCTACCAACTAACTAAATACAAGGTTTGTTGCACTGCTGCATTATGTAATATTCAGTGATTTAATTGGGTAGTGCTTATTTGGGCAGGTCAAAGCTTGGCTTTGGCAAAGCATGGTTCTGTCAAAAAAGTATCCATATGTCGGCAATTACTGTATCGAAGAATTTGAAATTTTGCATGCAAGTGGCCAGCTTTGCAGTGTGTAAAATGAGCTATGCAGTGCTTTACAAATTTGTTAATCTGTGGCATAATGGCGCGAAAAAGACAGACATAACCAGACAGATAATTGCGCCAAATGAAACGGTCCGCACAGTTTTATAGAGTAATGCCTAGTCTGATGTACCTACACAGAGGCCACACCCAATGTATTGAAATCTTACCACCAGGGTACAGAATCCACTGTCTTTCGGGATATGCTGTTGCAACTAAACAAAAACCACCCAGTCCGTTCAGAATGAGGGGTAAATTGCCACCAAAACGCATTTTTCAAGGCCCGTAGCGAACACCAAACTGTTTTTAGCAGGTTAGAATACCAGACGACCTCCGAGGAACCCACTGTAAACAGCAAAAAAATCGTTGTATGTTTCTCTAATGAACTGGAGACCTTGACCGTTTCTGGATTGAACACTGAATCCTCGTGGCTTTCTTTATTGAGGTCAGATTTCACCTGTACCGCTCAACTAGTCAAAAAAGATTTTACGGACATCCATAAGAGGCCAACGACGAAGCGTGTGCCTCGTCTAAAGTGACTAAGGTCATTAACAGCGTCACTATTTGGCGTGGATACCACATTGGTGCCAAAACAACAATGGAAGTCATCGACGAAAACCTGAACCAGATCAAATAAAGGAATAATCTGGGAACCACTTGACTATCATTTGATAAGGGGGAACTTAGGAACAATTTTAGGTTGCACGGTGAGATTGCCGGTTCACACAGGGTACTTTTAATAGCAGATTAGTTACAGAACCAAGGGAATGAGCAGCTGCCTTGGTCATCAAAATCGCCATATTTGAACCACATGGACAATATGTAGGTAGGCCATTACTCGCCGAATCAATGGCCTACATGTCCTACAACAAAACTGAACCAAATTGGACAGGTTTTGACCGATGCCAGGAATGTTATTCCAGATTGAACTCTAAAAACCTATCCCAAGGAGTGCCTTGCCACTTGAGAGCGCTGATAGCAGCCAGAAGAGGTCAGGCATAACAGCGACCGTTACTATGACTGGACACTGACATGAGGGTCTTTTGTGGAGTATGTAACTCTTTTACAGACAATGATTTGGAAAATATGGAGATCCAAAATATCTCTTTTAATGGTTGTCGTATGACATAAAATAGGCAGTGTGTTTTTGTTTGCTTCTCTGGCGAATTCCATTAATGAACTGATGTCACAAAGACATCAAAGAGATAATTAAAAGCTATTAAAACACGATTTCAGTCCTTATTTCCATTTTGCAGTCACCAAAATAGGAAAAAACTGATGAAAAATGATTTGGAAAAAATATTCCATATTAAATGTCAAGTCTGTATATTCATAAACACATATAAAATAGAAAGTGTAAAGTTTAAAACAGTTTATCCATTTTATTAATACTTTTAGTGTGATAATACAATTTCATCATGAAACAAATTATTTTATAACAAATTTAATTTTCATTGAATACAAGTATAGGAAGATTTATTAAATATCTAATCGAAGTATAACCACCTATCCTTCAGGTAAAGGTGGGGAAACAGATGGACAGGTAAACAGATATTTTATGAATATTTTAGTGTGGTGGGTAGTAGGTAGTGGTCAAGCGATAAAAAGTGACAAATAGTCAAATGGATACCTGGATAAGCGAGAAAACCTTTTTACCCCACCTCTCCCTAGGGATGCACATTGATTTAAAGATCTACTCAATCAAGGGGGGTAATAAAGCAATTAAAAAGTATCAGTTAATTCATCAAAGGGCTTCCTGGATGAGTGAAACCATCTTTTTACCCCTCCTTAACCTGGAGAACTTTGATCAAATTTTAATAAATGTTCTGTACTTCTATCTCGAAACTTTTATGTACTTGTACTCCATGAAATAATTTGTTTAATAAAATTAATAATATCTATCCTCGANTGTTTTTGTTTTTTTTTTTTTTTTGTTTGTTTGTTTTTTTTTAATGAATTTGGAGATAGAGAGAGATGTAAAAATACACTTTAGGATGCTCATTTAATTTGACGAATTTTCTATTTAAATCACTGCACGACAAAGGGTGCATATATAGACATTATTTAAAAAAACGATAAATCATTGCTTGACGTACCCGTACCTGGATTCCATCTTCAATACAATATTTAATTAAATAATTGAGTTTAAAAATATATATTTTTCAAGCGAGTAGAGCATACATTTAAATAACAGCTGAAATGTATTGTTTGGGATGTGATTGTGAAAAGAGGACGTTTTGGGGGAAGTATTTGTATTGTGCAACCTCTCCAAAACCATAGGCCAATCTTTTTGCAGGCTATCTTGAGCCATTGAATCAACAGCAAAATCATACTCACAAAAATCCCGATTGTCAATATTGACAAGGAGTAGAATTCTCTTGGTATTCTTATGACAGAGTAGGTCTACCCTCTACCAGGGCGACTGATAGATTTTTACGGATATTCACAGATATGTCTCTAGCTAGATAGATTGTCATTTTAACTCTAAGTGATAGATTTTTACGGATATTCACAGATATGTCTCTAGCTAGATAGATTGTCATTTTAACTCTAAGTCACTTAGAGTATATATATTTATATACACACGGTANTATTTAAAAAAACGATAAATCATTGTCACTTAGAGTTAAAATGACAATCTATCTAGCTAGAGACATATCTGTGAATATCCGTAAAAATCTATCAGTCGCCCTGGTAGAGGGTAGGTCTATATACTCACTTCGTGTATATATATATATATATATATATATATATATATATATATATATATATATATATATATATGCTGAAATGACCTCACCTGGATAGTTATTTTCGGACAAACACTAGAATCAGTTTGAGACTTTTCTGTTTCCTGAACACAAGTGAAGTT